CTGGTATTTTGCATTGTTGGTTGGTTGTTGTTTTTGTTTTCACCAATTCTTCAAAAGATATTTTGTGAGACCAGTGTGCAGGAAGGGAATCAATGCACTGGATCCCACTTGACTCAGGGGCTTTGGTGAAGCACCTGCTTCAGTGAACAAGAATGTTTTTGTGATGGTTTTCTGTGTTTTCATCCTCAGCAACTGTTAGGAACTGCCTACACTGAGAGTTGCTAGTTTTGGATCATCCTTCTAATCTTGGTTTCATTTTTCTAAAGGTGGTGACTTAAAAAAAAAAAGTGGGGCACTGGGGTGATTTTTTTGTTTTGTTTTTTAAGTACAGTTTTCAGTTTTGCTGGATTTTGCCCATAGCAAGGTAAAAGCCAAAAAGATATAATATTGAGTTCTTTAATTGCTATAGCTTAAATCCAGATTCTCAGTTGTTGCAGGATTAATTTCTACTTGCTTGTCCAGAATGACTGTTCAAAGGTTTTACTGAAAGCATGTTGAAGCAAATAGCTTTAAAATGATTGAAGTTATCAATAAAACAATGTGTTCTGCAGTATGTTCTCTGCCAAGGGAAGTAAAAGGTGTTCAAGCAGGCTAGTGAATGATAAAATGTACCTATTGCTTTAGAAAATGAGTTGATTCAGAACTGAATTTTAGTATTTTTCCTCCTATGGAGGCATCTATTAAAGTAAAATTATTCCCCAGATGGATTGGGATATGGCTTTTAACAACTGGTGTACATTTTTCATCACTTAAAATTCCATCCCAAATGGTCATGTATTTCCCTTTGTACTGTGGATTGTTGTCACTGTCAAAGGAAGCTTGGTGAGACCTTTGCTTTCTTTCCTAGCATTACCCTTTTCCTTCTCAAACTCATTTTGTCTGCTTCTCTGTGGTGGTGATTTTCTTAATCTGTTTCTAGTGGACCATTTCTCTTTTCTGGGGCTTCTAATGTGTTCAGGGTTACAAATAGCAGAAGCCTGAGGTTTTAATTTTTAGTTGCTAGAGCTGGTGATGCATAAAGCATTGAATCCACAGAGGAAGATGTGACTTGAGAGATCTAAATCAGGTTGGGTAAGGACTGGTGCTGATCCCGAGTTATTGTACCTAATTCCATTTGGCATTTAGGGTTAGTGTGCACTGAAATATCTGAACAGTTTGTATGTGTGAGGCAAAGATTGGCCTGACATCGTTGGCCCCACAGCAGCATCACCATTCATTTGGTTTTATGGTGAAGTGAAAACACACCTATGCTAAAATAAAAATTTGAGGCTTACTTTGAAGGTGCTGGTAGCGAGTGTTATGGGTAGTTTTGGGTAAAATTTCTCCATGTGGCTCAGGGTGTAGGAGCTTGCTGGGGGTGCTGAGCCCCTGGGTCAGGGCAGCCCTGGGTGCTGCTTCCTCCTGTGGCTCTTTCTGGCTTGGCAGGGCTGTGCTGGTCAGGGGCTCAATGGGCTCCCAAGGGACCAGGCATCCAGGAGAAGGCAAAGTGGCATCCCTGGCTGTGGGGGAGATGGTGCCAGGGAGGGGGGATGATAGTAGCTAAATGGTTTTGGTTGTCTGTCCTGACAAACTGGACCATTGGTTTCTGTTTGGCACTTCTTCCTTGGACCCACAGCTTAAAAAAATAATTAAAACCAAGCAACATATGCTCTCTCTGACATAGGTGTGTCTTGTGCTTTTGTTCTGCTGAAGGTAGAAAGTTGCCTTTACTGGATGCTCTGAGATGATTTCTGTCTCTTGGACTTGCACATAACTGAGTGTGCTTGCTTTCTTTCATTGCTTAATTTTAGAACCACTCTGGTATGTTTTAAAAAACCCTCCAGACAGTCACTATTTCAAATTAAGAAAATATAATCACACAGAAGGGCATATGAAAGTCGTATCTGTGTTTGTTTATTTATTTTGCTGAGATTGCATTATCATTCAAGCATGAAGCGATGTTTCACTGAAGATTGCTGTATAAACCTATATTGTTCTATATTATGTAGGAAATATGACATTTCATTACAAGCAGACTGTTATTTTTATAGAGAGCATAAAAAGTATTTTGCCTTTCAGGCACCTGTGGTGAGGGGGTGTATGCATTCTCAATTTTTCCTCTTTTTTTTTCATTTTGAAGTGTGAAAATCTACCTGAAAGTAGAAGGCTCTTACTCTAAATGGATTGTACTCCCAGCTCATTTGTATGGTGTTTTCTGCAGAAATCAAGCAAAACACAGCCATGACCTTCCCAGGGATGGTGTGTGCCAGAGAGCTGTGGGGCTGTGCCATGGGGCAGCAGCTGGGCCATGCCATTGTCTCCTCAGACCCCCTCCTTCCCAGCATTCGGCTTCCAGGCTGCAAGCCCAGGTTGTGCTGGGCACTCTCAGCTCCAAAATCCCAGACCCTGTGCCCTCTGGATCACCCCCAGCCTTCCCAGGCTGCATTTACCATCTCACCATGGAACCCAGTGGGAAAGTTCCCTTGGAAAGTTCCCTTGAGATTAGGCTGTGCAGAGCAGCATTTTTATGGACGTTTTTGCATCAGCAAGTAAAGTTTTCACCTGGCTTGCAGTAGGGATGTCCCAAGGTGCTGGGAATGACTGGACTTGCTCCCTCAATACATAGCACTGTACTTAGAAGTGTGTTAGCTTCTAAAAGCCTGGTTATATAACTTCCTTTTTACCAATTACAGAGTGTTGCAAAGCAGTCTGTAAATAATATTTATTACCCTGCAGTTTTGACCCAACACTCTGGAATTTCGGAACTTTGGATCTTACTGATTTTAATCAACAGAGAATAAATATCAGTGTTTCATGTTATCTGTGAAGAGATGGTAGAGAATAGAAAATATTTCAAAGTGTGTTTCTAACTGAAGTAGTCAGTGCACTGATGAACCATGGATGATTCTAAGCAAGGAGCCCTGTATTTTTGTATAAAATTTGATAGATAGGTGGTGGGATGTGAGCTTTCCTATAATGAGAAACTGTTGTACTTTGCAAGGCTTGACTGAAGTTTAAGCATATATGTTCCACTGACAGCACTGCCTGTGCTTTCATGTGAAAGAATTTTTGCAAGCTTTGTTAAGTCATATTTTATTTCTGGTAACTGTAACACCTTTAAGGAAAAAAAAGTAAGATATGAAGGGTTTTAACCTTCAAGAAATGATAATCATCTTCATCTGTCAGGTCTTGGTTATTTTACCTCTGAGTCTTACTTGTGCCTTGGAACGTGCTACCAGTGGGTTGTCTGTTTCTGTAGATAACAAACTGGATATTGGTGAATTTATGGGTCTGTGGGAGACATAGTTTTGTATCTCCTGCATCAGCTTTTTTAAAAGAAACTACATTTTATTTATGACCAATAATAACACCTGCTAGGTGAAGATAATGATACAGATAACAAAAGCTAATAGATAAAGACAAAATCTGGTCTTCTGTGCTGGATTGTTTATTCTTCTATTCCACTATATGATGGCAGTGGAGATGATTTCTGCTCTTGGAAGCTTTATCCTCTGCTATGGTAAAAGTGGCACTGGACAGACAAGTAGTTTGTTGCTGTAAAATGGGCACTATATTAATCAGGGGAATTTGAGTCCCTGGAAAAGATTTTTAAATGATGACTAGTGGTTTTGGATGTCTAAGTGTAGTACTTTTCACTGTGAGCCTTTCAGAGTGCAAGCATGTTACAGCCCTGGTGTGGAAGCTCATTTGGAGGGCTTTAAGCTGCACAGGAAAAACTGAGACCCCAATTACAAAACATGCTTGAATACTTTTTCCTTGGAGTTTGGTTTCAGTCCATGACATTCCCTCAGTAGTTGCGTGTTTGAGGTTTTAGGTTTTTTTCCAAGCCACTCTCTCTCCTCTGTCTGCAGAGCCTCATTTAATGACACAATGGGGCCTTTTAATAATGTTGGGGACTTTTTTTTTTTCCCATGCAGTGAAATTCTGAATTGTAATTTTCATCACTGCTTTGTGTGTTACATCATGCATGCTGGGCTGGATTCTCAGCATTCAGTGGTGTTCTCTGGTTTTCTACCAGCTGAGAATTTGTGCCAGCATTTTTGGCTTCAGAGTAAAACCTTTGGAAAGCAAGCACACTGGATTTCTAATTGGTTGTGATATCCAGGAACTGCAAGTGGCTCAGGTCTTGCAAATGTGTGACAAGGGCCCAGCATGAGAGGCATGGCAATGGGTGGGAAGGTGAAATGCCATGATTTCTCTGCTTTGTTATTAATTGTCTTTCATAATGATGATGTATAGTGAATAAAAGGCTGAGTTAAAACTGGTGGGAGATGATGCATTTGAATCTTAGCAGACCAGCTGTGAGAAGGCATGATGCTGCTTGGACATCATCAGGATTTGTGAGGCTGGAATGTTTCTGCATCTGCCTGGTCAAGCTGTAGTTTTATAAATATTGTATGAGCTGTCATTCTTTGCTTGTTTAAACTGAGAAATCCCTGAAACGGCCATGGATTGCAAGCATGTCTTGTATTTAATTCTCAGGCAGGAGCACAGCCATATAGCATTATTAGCAATAATCCATCTCTGCCTTACACTGTGCAAGGACAGGTTTCCTGTGATGTGCAGGGAAGAGGTGGTAACAGAGTCAGTGGTAAAAACTGAAATTGGAGCGTGGTGAATTGTGTTGGGAGAGGCTGTGTCTGAGATTTCTCAAATTTTAGGGCCCTATTTATCTGACTGCAGCACACCTTATTTACTGCAACTTAATCTGCTTGCAGCAGACACAAATGGCTCAGCATCCTGTCAAAAAATCCGTCAGAAAATCACTAGCTGACCAGTTGTGAACGTGTCAGAGTGACAAGTGGACATGCTGACAAGATATGGCATTTGGGTTTTTTCACTGAAAAAATGCAGTGATGGATCATGGCAGATGACTCTCTAAAATGAAAAATATTGATGTGAAAATGAAAAATGTAATCTGAATCTTTCTGACTTAGCATTTTTACTAGACTGTTATTTCCTTTTTTTTTTTTTCCCCCTTTTAAAAATAAAATTCTTAGATACAGAAAGAGAAATCCACGCAGCACCCCATGTGAGTGAGAAATTAATTCAGCTCTTCCGGAATAAAAGTGAGTTCACGTTTCTGGCCACTCTGCAACAAAAGCCATCGACTTCTGGAGTTATACTGTCCATCAGAGAGTTAGAGCACAGGTAAGAGGAATTTGTTTCTCTCTCCCTTGCAGCAATATAAAAGATACTGAGTGCCCTGTGGTCTGTTTGGACAATGTATTGAAATGGTAGATGTAAAATCTAATATGCAAGTTAGAGCCTTTCGTCATAGTTTGCTATTTGCTACTTTTTTCTAGTTATTTTTTTTTTTTGTTATAGGAGGAATTCATTATTTATGTATCCCAGTCCATAAAATAACTTAAACAGAAAGATCAAAGCAAATGTAGTATAGATGCAGGGCAGTTTGGAAGTTACAAACCTTGCAATGCAATTTTCCTGACTAGTTTATTATATGTGCTTTGGCGTTTGCTTTTTCATAAAAGTTAAACTTGCACTTTTCTTGCTTCACTATGTTTTATAACATTATAAAAGAATACATTTTCTTTGAGATTCAGCAGTTAAGCTATTAAGCAATTAAGCTGCTTGTGCTTGCATATAATACTGTGTGTGTTTTCTTCCCAATATAAATCCATTATATTCCTATTTCATGTATGACTTTTCTCTCCCCCTGCCCCCTTTTATTTTTTTTCTGGTTGTCAGTGTAGGAGGAAAAAGAGGTCACTTTGATTATCTGTTTTAGTGGCAGACATCAGTTTATTCCTAAAAAAGGTGTACTTTGTTTTATGGTCCATAATACAATTCCAATGATGTTTTGATGCTTCAAAGTGTATGTTGTATCAAACAGTCTCCTATTTGTAACTTTGTTAATGCTTTTTAAATAATTTCTTAGGTCTTGAAGGACATTTGTGTCTAGTCTGACACATGAAAGTCTAGTGCTGCTCTTTCCTGTTGTAATACAAGTAATGGGACATTCTTTGGTTGCTCCCATTTCAAATCTAATGCCAGTTTTTCTGCAGCACTTCTATTAAAATAATCCTACTGGTATTTGTCTTAATCATGTACATGATACTCAATTTTTAGCCCAATATCTTCCGTTTTTGATGAGGAAGTATATGAAGGAGAAGGCAGTGACTTCATCGTGGCCAAATTGTCAATGATGCTTTTTGCCAGTGCAGCAGCAGAGATGCCCAGACAAGCCTCCCCAGTTAAGGGGAGGACTTTGCTATTCAATGTCCCTATTCAATACTTTTCTGTCACCTCTACTTTTCTTTTACTTTATTCTTTTTGCATTTTTCAGGCCACTGTCTCAGTCTAGAAGAATATTGTTTTACATTATAAAGGGATGCTTCCCTCCATCTCTTCCCATTCTCCTTCTCTTACTCTATCATTCCTTTTGCATTACTTTTCAATTTCTCCAAGCTTTTTCAGGTCATTTGAAGTCATGGTTAACAAGATCAGTTTGCCATGTTAAGAGTTTGTTTATTATTTATTTGAGAAAGAGAACATTGAGGATAGCCATTGAACAGAAAAATGCTGTCACATGCCTGCACTTAGCAAAATCCAAGGTCAAACTAGACAGGCAATGGTGATTATACAATGCAAGGCACATGGATTTTTAGATATGGAATCTACTGAATGCAGCTCCTTGAGTCCTCAGTCTTGACAGGCAGAGGATTGAAGGGAGATGTGCTATGCAGGAGTAATCTTGGTTGAACAAAATACACTGCTGTTGTCCTCTCTGGCACTGAGGTTATCTATAATATTTAAAATGATGACATCTGCTTAAAAATACATAGAGTTGAAGGATTGCCTGCTAGTCTCAGTTCAACCTTTGCAGCTCTGTGCAGTAACTGAGGAAGTTTCAGTCTGTAATTCCATGCAGGAGTCAGAGCAGGCATGTCTGGTGTTGCTCCTGACTGCTCTTACTCCAGTGGCTTACTGGGGCTGGCCTGTTTTGGCCTCCCTGTGTATCCCCTAAAGCCATTGCTTGTTTCTCAGGTTGCCTCTCAGACCTTGCTAAGGATCCTGCTTTCATACCCCCACGTCTGGGATGACAGAAGTTAATAAAATGGATGATTATGGAGAAAATATTTTTTAACGTGGATGAGAAGTAGAGAACAAAGATTTGGGGCACTGCTGAAGATGATCCTGCTTAAATTAGATCAGTGTAATAGCAGAACTTTCAGGTTGAGAATTTTTGATGTTTCTCTAATAGCTCCACTCACTCTATAGCTTTGCATGGGAGCTGAAATGGGTGCAGACACATGTCACAGGGCAAACCTTTTATTAATTGTAGCTCCTACTAAGCTTCTGATAATTATCGTGGTGCTGTTCTTGATGACATCCATTTTTCTTTTTTGGTCAAGCTCTTTCAATTTCCCCTGTGTGAAAACAGACACTGTAAAGAGGATAATAAAGAGTATTTTTATTTCATCAGGGGCAAGATGTGTGAGAACAAATATAAGGGTACAGTTGTTCCTTAACCAGTATAGAGTTTGACTATGGAAAACACAAGAACTCTTATCAATTTCTTCTCTTTGTGCACAATAGGAGATATTACAGTTAAAGGCTTGCTTTTTTTAACTTACCAGCATATAAAAAGTGGCCAAATTTTCAAAAGTTCAAGCCTTCAAGAGGTCAGCAACAAGCAAAAAAAAGCAGCTCT